TTTACTTCTTATTCGGTTGTGTATGTTTGTTTAAACAAACATCCTTTTGTAGAAATGTCTTTGCAAATATTTCAATCTTTTTACTTCGATAGGTTAACGTCGATCAAATTCCGCATGGACATAACAACGATCAGTCGTGGCTACAAAAAAAAAAAAAAAAAACGATAAACAAAACGTTTTGCTTAATACTGGTTAATCAACTTTTCAGTAACATCATTTGTTTAATTTTACGGTTCAGATACGCTCTCTAACAATCAAACAAAAACATATCCAATTAGAACCAATTAAAATATATTATTTCCCCATAAGGCAACAAAAAACCTTTGTTTGGAATAATCACAGAAGTTTCCATTAGGGTACAAATTAATGAAATAATACGTGTAATTATGATTCCAAAAAATGATCTAATTTGCGAATTTGTCCGAAAATAATTTAGGAGAAATTTGGTTTGTTGTTGATTGGAAATAAAACAATTTTTTTAATAGACTATGGAAAGAGTCTGAGTAGATCAAATGTTTAGTCTTTAGTTGCCCAAAATACAGAGTGAGATGAAAAAAATGCACCCAACTTCAGACTGTGGTCATTTCTAAGCCACTCGTCCGACAGCTGTTGAAATTATTCCAGAGACAGCTCATTATATTGTTTACAAGCGTACAATAGCATTTTGGTGAGAATTTTCCAGAAAAAAAGTTATTCGTGATGGAATTCAAGCGTGATAGTGTGATTTCTTTATATTTGGCTGGAAAACCACAAGTGGCTATCGTTAGAGCACTCCAGCATTTAAATGTGAAGGAAGTGGACGGAAGAAAACAACATCATCAACAGAAATAATTCGAAAAGTAAAGAAGCGACGACGGCGAACCAGGTCGCAGTGGTCAAAATGGGTCGTGAGCTGAACTTATTGCAATATTCCATTCGGCAATTATTGAAAAATGAGCTCGGGGTAAAGCCATTGAAATTCCAAAGAGGGCAAGAACTTACACCGCAACGGAAAGAAAATAGACTCAAAAGAGCTAAAGAGTTGCTTCGTTTGGCCGAAAGTGGTGAACTGACGAATTTGGCAAAAATACCGCAGAGCAACATTCGGGCAGCATGTGACGGTTTCATTGGCCGTTTGAAGGCCATACTTCATGCCAAAGATGACCAATTCGAACAAATCTAAATTTATTCTAAAATTTGATGCTATTTCCGACATTTTTTGCTTTCATTCAATAAAATTTACAAAAAAAAAAAAAATGTAAAAATTATGGCGTTTGACTTTGTTGCAATTTTGTTATCTCACCCTGTATAATAAGTGTTTCTTATTCTGTATTTCAATTATTTTTTACAAACAAGACACAAAAGTGCAGATCCGTCTAGGTTTTTAAAATAATTTTGCCGACTTTTATTATTAACAATTAAAACTGATAATTTTCATTGATTCCATGAGCATTGGCTTGCTGTTTGAAGCACTTGCCATAATCTTCAGCAGCTTGACAATGATCCGATGACACTTCAATGTCGGCGCAAGCGTTGATAATTTCCGAAGCAACTTGCATTTTATCAACAGCACCGTCGGTTACTTTTTCGACATGTTTCAGGGCAACATCGGCCACAAATTTGCCCGAGTCATTCATCTGAAAGAAAAACGTAAAATGCGATATTTGAATACATATTTTTAATTCTATTTAATAAACTGCTTACCACTTCGAACTTTTTCATCAGACATGCTCGTAAACACTTTCCCTCCATAGTTGAGGCTGGTTTTCGTTCAATCAGTTCTTCCATATCGACTGTAAGATTTTTTCAAATACATCTTATCAAATTGAATTGTTTTTAATTTTTTCTAAAACGATCCCTTACCATCTGCCGCACCAACATTCGTTTTACAATCACTAGCTTTAGTCATGAACTTGGCAATAGCTTCCTTTTTGTCGAACCCTCCTTGAACCACAACAGCTCCAATAGCACACATAACAGCGAGGGACATCCAGAATTTTGCCATTTTGGTATGGTTTTGCGCTACTAGAAATTAAACGAAAGAATATTTCAATTTATTAAATTCAACTGATATCTACTTGATTTTTTTTCGGTTATTTATATGAAAATTCTTCTGAATGGTACTTCCTATTCTTTTATAAACTGCAATTCATCCATGAAATTATGGGTTACATTCTTAAAAATAACTAAATACTATTAACTAAATAAGAGTGTTTGAAGGTAATGTTGTAGTTGTCCACATTTGTTTGTTACTGCGTCATTATACCCTCAGCCATATGGCTACAGAGGGTATATACAGGGTGAGATGAAAACCTTGGACATGCCACCCAACAATGGTTACTAAATGAGGTTTCTCGCTTTATTTCCAGCGCACAATGGCCACCAAAATCTCCGGATACCAATCAGTCGGGCTATTATGTCTGGAGTATTTTGGAATGCAAGGTTGGCACTAAAAAATACCAAAGTGTCGATCACCTCAAGCAAGCGCTTCGCCGGGAATGGGCCAAAATACCGCAGAGCAACATTCGGGCAGAGTTTTAAGACCATAATTCGTGCCAAAGGTGACCAATTCGAACAAATCTAAACTTATTCTAAAATTTAATGCTTTTTCCGACATTTTTTGTTTTTATTCAATAAAATTAAAAAAAATGTAAAAATTATGGCGTACGACTTTGTTGATGTTATCGGTCCACTCCTTCTGGTACCTCCCCCACAAAAAGGTCGAAATTTGCAATTCCTAATATTTCATCAGTGCTTGGTCATGTGCGAAAATGGGCAATATCCATCAAGTACCTCCGCCACAAAGCGTCAAAATTTTGAAAAGTTATAACTCTTATAAAATGTGATGTAAAAGACCGATTACACACTTCACAATATTTGTATTAACCAAAAGTCTGATATGAAGATGGATTATATCGGTCCACTCCTTCTTTTACCTCCCCACAAAGGGCTAAAATTTTGAATATTCATGTGGCTCATACAGTACGAAATTCCACTCAGACTTGGCACATCTAAAAATTACAATAAACTCAAGATCTGCTATAAATATGGTAAGGATTCGATCATTCCTTCTGGTACCTCTTCCACAAAGGACCAAAGTTTTGAATAACCAAAATTTCGAATATTCATGCAGCTCATAAAACACGAAATTAACATCCGATTTCATTCACACTTGGCACATTTGAATATTTCCATCAACAGAAGATCTTCTATAAAGATGGTAGAGATCGGACCATTTCCTTTGGTACCTCCCCCACATACTGCTCACTATTTTAAAAAACAAAACGCTCAAAGAAAGCGAAATAAAATATTTCTCTCAACCAGAAACCTGAGATGAATATAGAATTAATAATTTCGCATAAAATTGGATATAAATATTCGATTTGCTTGCTTACCAATTTTTTTTATCTGTATTAAATGATATATGATAATGGAATACTTCGGTCCGTTATATCTGTTACCTCACGTATATTTCCACATTTTCCAAAAATTGGCACATATCTCAAATAAAGTGAAGGAAGTAGTCGATATAGTCCAAATCTAGCACGTTGTAGTATTTATATCAGTCTTAGGTAAGATACAAATTGGTCAATATTGGCCAACTGCTTCGGAACCTACCCCATAAAGGGTCAACAGTATGAATAATCATAACTCAAGGCTGAGGGTATACATCTGTCGGAAAAACCAACTGATACTATTTTACTTGTTATACCCTAAACCACAAGGTGGTCAGGGTATTGTGTCTTTGTGCATTTGTTTGTAACAGGCAAAAGAAAACGAGATAGACCCATAGTTCCTTTTGATGATATGAGTCGATTTATGCATGTCCGTCCGTCTGCACACGTTTTTTGTAAACAAAGTACAGGTCGCATTTATTGCCCGATCCAGATGAAATTTTGCACAAATTATTTGTTTGGTCCAAGGACGACCTCTATTGAAATTGGAGATAATCGGTAAAAGTTTAGATATAGCAATATGCAATATCAGCCCGAATAGTATGGAATTTTACACATACAACCAAATTAGGCCTGAAAATAAGTATGCCAAATTTGATCGAAATCGGTTCAGATATAGCTATAGCTCCCATCTATATTGTTCATCCGATTTGTCATTTTTGTCCTCCACAGCTGTTATATGCACTCTGTAACAACAATATTTGGGGAAATATATCAAATACAGCTCAGAAATACCGTTGTTAAATTTTATCGGGATGGGATAAGATTTGGATATAGCTCCCATATATAATCGATTTACCTTTTATTGTGCACCAAACGTCTAATATTTGCCCAAATGGGATGGAAATTGAAACTGCCAGCCGAATTGAGTCTAGAAGCTAGTATGTAAAATTTGGTGAAGATCGGTTCAGATATAGCTGTAGCTCCCATATATATAGTTCATCCGATTTGTTATATTTGTTCCCCACAGCCGTAATATGCACTCTGTAACAACGATATTCAGGGAAATATATGACATATAGCTCAGAAATATCTTTGCCAAATTTTATCGCATATATGTCTTTATCCGATTTCAAGTTAACTGTGCACCAAATGGGAAATGCCGGTCCGATTTTGAGAGGCATATTTAGGCCTTTGAACTTTAAATTATAATTTTAATCATAGCGTGTATGATTGAATTCTCCCATAAAAACTTTTAATTGTTATTTGGAGCTCTACTAAATAAGCAAAGTGGTGTTGGGTGTCATAGGGTATCATAAAGGCGGCCCTGCCCGACTTTAAGACTTTCTTTACTGATTTTATTTATTTATTTTTTTTTTTTTGACATTTGGCAGAGTAATTTTATCGATATTAAAGCATCACATGAATCTTAAAGTATGATCATACTTCCTAAATCGAGTAGATTTCCACTGTCTATTCCATTGAGGATACATCAAACGTAGACGATAAGTGGATTTGTGTCGGAACGTGTTATTTTACATAAAATAGCAGCACAACTTAAAGGAGAGACATTATGATATTTTACTATTTTTACAATTTTTACCATTTTGAAAAGAAGTAAACAAACCAAATATCAAATTTCAAAAACCAATATCCAAATAAAAGAACGCAATAAGAAACTAATGTCGATAACTAAAAGATAACTTTTAAACGCTTATAATTAGTGAATGGTATTTAGTTTCGATAAAGATGATAACTAATAATTTTACGCATGGATTACTTTTAATTAAAGAATGTGAAACAATCTTTGGAGAGCCAATTTCATATAAATAACGAAAATATTTGGAAATAGGTAACAGTTTAAATTTATATTAAATTCAAATTTAATTAATTTACCGTCAATATCGTATTACAATGACAAAACTCGTAGCAACACTTGCAGTCGTGTGCATTGTTGGAGCGGTTGTGGTCCAAGGAGAGTTCGACAAAAAGGAAGCTATTGCCAAATTTATGACCAAAGCTAATGAATGTAAAACTGAAGTCGGTGCAACAGATGGTGAGTAAAAATATACTAGAAATATGGAAAAACAATCCATTTTAGACATTCAACGCATTTTACAGCCGACATGGAAGAAATGCATCAATGGAAATCATCCTCAACTATGGAAGGAAAATGTCTACGAGCATGTCTAATGAAAAAGTACCAAGTGGTTAGTAGTTTCGTTATATATTTAGAGATATTTATCTTTGAAAACATTTACTATTCCCATTTTCTTTAGATGGATGATTCGGGTAAATTTGTTGCCGATGTTGCCATGAAACATGCCGAAAAAGCAACTGATGGTGCAGCTGATAAAATGAAAGTGGCCGCAGAGATCGTCAACGCTTGCGCTGGAATCGAAGTCTCATCGGAACTTTGCCAAGCAGCTGAAGATTATGACAAATGTTTCATACAACAGGCTAAGGATCATGGCATCGATGAAAATTATTTATTCTAAATGTTGCTACGATAAAGTACCATTTATTCGATGAATTTCTGGAAATGAAAAATTTAATTTTTATAAAGTATTTTGTGACACCTTAAAATTTTAGTAGTTTTTATTTCTGTTGTCATTTAGTCATTAATCTATATGAACTTGGGATTTTTCCGCATTATATTTTAGCTAACCATATCCAGAATTAAGATATTGTATGTCATAAATTGTATTATCTTATTTATTTTAATATGTGACATACTGTATTTCAACACACTGGATTTAGTGGATTTTTTTTTGAAAACAGTTAAAAAAGTTATAAGATTGGACGGGCCGATCTTTGAATATCTACTATGGTCTATACGACGACATGGACCTGCATAGGTAACTTTTGCCATAAACAATTACAATGCGAAAATTGAATAAAAACTTCGGTGAATAATGAGCTAAAATCATTAAAATACCGTATTTCGGGAGGTACTGTTATAATAGTTATATACGAAGACGTGGACCTGCAGAGACAATTTTCTGGCCTGCAGTAGCCATTACGAACATCAACCACTAAATTTGAAACAATTCCGGTGAATAATGACGCTAAAATCATCAAAGTACCGAGTATCGGGAGGTGCCGTTATATGGGGGCTATATGAAGAGGTGGACCTGCACAGACAGTTTTCTGTCATAGGCTGCAGTAGCCATTACGAACTTCAAATACCAAATTTGAAACATTTTCGGGGAATAGTGTCGCTTAAATTACCACAATACCGAATATCGGGAGCTACCATTATGTCGGGGCTATACCAAAACGTGGACGTAAATGACCCATTTTCAATACCAAAAGTCCTGCAGACATAATACACATTTGAGTAAAATTTTATCAACCTATCTATAGACGGATAGACGGACAAAGAATTTTATGTTGATCAAGAATATATATACTTTGTGGGGTCTAAAATGTATATTTCGAGGTAGTACAAACGGAATGGCAAACTTAATATACAGGGTGAGATAAAAAAAAACTGCAGCCAACTTCAGACTGCTGTCATTTCTAAGACACTGTTGATAAATTTATTCCAGTGACAGGTTCGCTCCGTTGTCTAGCAGTTTGTAAACAAATAAAATTATCGTGTTTACTTGCCAAAGAGGTCAGCACCTTCGGTTGGCCACCAAAACTTAAGCGCCGGCCATTCGCTCTCCTCTCGTATTAATCGACCGTGGCATCAGAATAAATACCGAATACCAATCCGTTGGGTTATTGTGTCTGGAGTATTTTGGAATGCAAGGTTGGCACTAAAAATACCAAAGTGTCGATCATCTCAAGCAAGTGCTTCGCTGGGATTGGGCCAAAATACCGCAGAACAACATTCGGGCAAGGTGTGCCAAATTCGTGCCAAAGGTGATCAGTTCGAACAAATCTAAACTTATTCTAAAATTTGATGCTATTTCCGACAATTTTTGCTTTCATTCAATAGAATCAAAAAAAAAAAAAAAAGGTAAACATTGTGGCGTTTGACTTTGTTGCAGTTTTTTTATCTCACCCTGTATATATATAATAAAAACAATGTAGCCGAATAGATTATACTACAGTTCGATGTTTTGATTTGTATTAAATCATGTATGTGTGTGGACGCCAATCGTTTCATGGATACACAAGAAAAAGTTCATGTCTCGTAAAGTGAAAATTTTTAGAATACCACGTCCTCCAGACCGCCTAAATTGTTATATTTGAGGAAGTTTGTATGTTCATTTTCGTAAGGTCTATCGTTGTTGGCTGCATGATTAGAATGCAACAATATTGTAAATTCCAGCAAAATTTTTATTCCGAATTAAATTTGAATCTCAGCACAAGTTTTCGATTCAATTCGTTTTTGATGACGAATTCTGATGCCGTCGATATCGGTGTGTTACAGTTAAAAGTATTAATATTTTTTTGAAGGAAAGCGATTGGAATTCGAATAAAAAATTGTCCAAAGAAAATATGTTTTTCATTTCAAAGTCTCACAGAACGAGAATGCTGCTAATGGTCTCCCGTACGACATCACCACCTGTTTGCAACGATAGTTAAGGAAAACAAGTGAAAAAGTAACAGTCGGTTTTGTCGACAGATATATATCCTCAGTTTATATCAGATAATAAAATAAATTTTGACTTGATCAACGTGGGAGTGGGCCAATATTTTCTATTTCCCATATGACGTAAGTCTGATATAATTATTGCGACGTGCCAGGTTTGGACTATATCGACTACTTCCTTCCCTATATTTGAGATAGTTTTGCATATTTTTTTGGACATGTTGAACTTTTGTGGAGGAGGAAGGAGAAAAAGTGGATTATTAAAACAGATAAGACTAATACTGATAAAAATGTTGAGATTGTGAAGTGCGCCTCTTAAAGGGTTAACCATAAAAATAAATGGCAACATTGATAAGAAGAGTATTGGCAACCGTTTTTAGGAAACAGCTGAGTATTCCAGTTGCCTAAGTGTCAACAAGGGGGAAAATAAAAAGAAACCAGTAAAGAAAGTCTTAAAGTCGGGAGGGGCCGACTTTATGATATCCTACACCACTTTGCTAATTTAGTAGAGCTCCACATAACAATTAAAACTTTTTATGGGAGAATTCAATCATACACGCTATGATTATAATTATAACTTAAAGTTCAAGGGACTAAATATGCCGGAGCATTTGTATCTTTTAAATTCGGACTTGTATTGCCCATTTGGTGCAAAATTAATTTGAAATCAGATAAAGATATGTATGGGAGCTATATCCAAATCTGAACCGATCTCGATAAAATTTGGCAAAGATATTTCAGAGTTGTATTTGATATCGTTGTTACGGAGTGCATATTATGGCTGTGGGTAACAAATGCAACAAATCGGATGAACAATATATATGGGAGCTATAGCTATATCTGAACCGATCATCACCAAATTTGACATTCTAGCTTCTAGACTCAATTTGGTCGTATATGCCAAATTTCATCCCATTTGGGCAAATATTAGACGTTTGGTGCACAATCAAAGGTAAATCGGACGAAGTTGTATATGGGAGCTATATCCAAATCTGAACCGATCTCGATAAAATTTACCAAATGTATTTCTGAGCTGCATTTGATATATTTCCCCAAATATTGTTGTTACAGAGTGCATATTACGGCTGCGGAGGACAAAAATAACAAATCGGATGAACAATATATATGGGAGCTATAGCTATATCTGAACCGATTTCGATAAAATTTGGCATACTTATTTTCAGGCCTAAATTGGTTGTATGTGCAAAATTCCACCCTATTCGGGCTGATATTACACGTTTGGTGCACAATCAAAGGCAAATCGGACGAAGATATATATGGGAGCTATATCTACATTTTGACCGATTATCTCCAATTTCATTTCGTCCTTGGGCCAAACAAATGATTTGTACAAAATTTCATCTGGATAGGGCAATAAATGCGAACTGTACTTTGTTTACCAAAATACATGGACAGACGGACAGACGGACGGACATACATAAATCGACTCAGAATGTGATTCTATGCAGATCATCAAAAGGATTTAAGGGTCTATCTCGTTTCCTTTTGCCTGTTACAAACAAATGCACAAAGACATAATACCCTAACCACTTTGTGGCGAAGGGTATAAAAAGCTTAACTCTAACTATTCGACATACTTACCTGTTGGGAAGAACCTCCTAATTTTTCTCGTCCGTCTGTTGCGGTGGAAAGAAGATTACATTTTTAAGTAATTGGCAAACTGAATTTATTCAGTTTTTGGCGCGCTAAACGCCAGCACACCGGCAACGCCACTCAATCATCAACACAGCGATTTTTCATTCATTTTTTCTTGGAACACGGTTGTTACAAGATGTGCAATAATTACTTTTTTCCAGCTTTGTGGGATCAATTGGTAATTAACATTTCTTGTATTTGTAGGGGAGAAGAAGTGGACATTACATCTATGGCATGTAGAAATATTATTATTTTACCCTTTGTGGGGGAGGTACATGAAAGAATGGGCAGATAAGTTCCAAATTCAAACTAGAACTAATTTCGATGAAGGTATTGCATTGTGCAAAATTTGAAAAAACATCAAATAATTATTTTTAATTTTATGATACTTGACTTATTTAAAATTCTGACCCTTTGTGGAGGAGGTATCAAAAGAAGATCTCGAGTTTAGTCAAACATTGAAATATACGTGATATAACTATTGGGGTGTGCCGAGTTGGAATGGTATCAGATGTTCATTTCCGTTTTGTAAACTTCATGGTTATTCAACATTCTGACACCTTGTGGAGGAGTTACTAGAAGAAGTGGGCCAATATCCATACTATATGCACATCGGATCTTGTGTTTATAGAAATGTTGGAATGTATGAAATTTGCAATGAATTGCCTGATTATTTTGCATTTTATGAGAAATATAATTATTCAGAATTTTTAACCGTTGTGGGGGAGGTATCAGAAGTTTTGGTCCGATATAGTACGTCTTCACACAAGAGTTTGTGTTGGTGGGGAAGTGTGAAATTTGAAGACAATCGGACTCTTATTCCACATTTTAAATGACTTATATTTAATAGGCAATTTGTGAATGAGGTACTTGATGGAGTAAATTATTTCTATGAAAATGTTATCCTTTTGTGGCGGAGGAATGGACCGATAATGCCCATCTCCGAACTCGTTTGACAATAATATTACAATGTACCATGTTTTGGATCAAATCGGATATTCCTTTGGAGAGGTATCGTGCGCACCAGCAAGACAGAAATACGGACGGACAACCTTGCATCGACTCCAAATATCCTGAAACGCATTTGGTTTAAAAAGACCTAGGGTCTGAGAATGTTATTTCAAATCAAATGATATATACTCTCTCTAGCCATATGCTACAATTTTAATAGGTACCGATAAAAAACCGTAACATTTTTTCCCACCTGACAGGGTAGTAAAACCAAATACAAATGTCCAAAGCGGTCACTTTTTTTGGTTATTTTGAACATCATGCTCCATTATGTCACAGATGAATAACTCTTAATTACACATGGCATCGAAACTAAAATGTAAGTTAGCTATTCCCATAAATAAGTGGGAAAATTCGAAATTGAATACAGTTGGAT